CGTGTTTCAATAAACTTATTTATTCCATATCATTCTCCTGTGTTGTGTTCTGCATATGGGCTTGAAATAAGACACCCATCATGACAAATGCTAGTGAACAACCGCATTGGCTTGAAGCAAACTAAGTTCCTAAGTTCTTCCTTTTAGCATGCAGATACTATATTGTTTCCACATTCTTGTAGGAGACAAAAAATGATTAATGTTAATCAGTTGAAGAGTATTATAAATTCATCTGCTTTTGAGGTCACGGGGGTGAAGTGCTTGCTGCCATGGAGATGGGCATGTTTACTCACAGGCTTCAACTTGATTAGTATTCAAAGAGGCAGCCTCATAATGCTTATTCACTGTGGAAATGTGACCTAAATTTTGTCAGAGAAGTTGTGCTTTGAAGTTTGAAATTAGATCAGGGGACTTTTATTCTTCCTTTTAGAAGGAAGTGCCTTATCAAACACACTTTTCCCCACTTAATTCTAAATATCAAAGCTTTTGAAGACTCAATTAGCCACATCTCGACTGTTGTCACAACATTGCTGAGGTCTTAGATTTAATAAAGGGTACAAGGACCCCTGACATAAACAAGCTTCTGAAGTTGTTTCACACAGCAGCATATTCATGTATACACTCCTGCTGTTAAGTGCTGCTGCTCTGTGAATGTCATAACATGGCAGCAGAAACATAAAGTATTTTGTGGCTGGGAACGGCATAAAACCAATTTGTTATAAGTAGAACAGGGCAGCTCATAAGGGTGAAAGGAAAGCCCAGCATGAATATTTCCATATGTCTGTGCAAATAACCTTTTCTGAATTTCAAAATCCATTTGAAAAACTTTTCTGTCAGCATATGATAGTCTTCCAATTCAATTCAAATTAAAATATACTTTATTAATCACAAAGGGAAATTAAATGTTGTTGTAACATATTAATTTTTCAAAGAATTATGTTGCATATTTGGCAGATTTAGTTCCATAGTGGAACTAATTCAGATACATGAACTTTGCGTCAAAGTTTGTGCAAATATAGTTTTTATGTGAACAATAACAAGCTACAAAGTGTCAAAACTCACATAAATACATTGAAATTTGACTACATTCATTGTTGAGACCAAGAAGCATCAAAGCAATGTTTTTTTAAATTATGGTAATATTTTATTATTTAAATGTAAACATGAAACTGAACCCTTTATCTTCATAGAATAACTTAACGTACACATAAAATAAAGAAAATAAAAATAAAAGGATGTGAAAACCTCACTTGAAACTATTCATAAAGATGTAGTACGTCGGTCTTTCTACCGAAGCGCATGAAATGCATCTATGGGGTCATTTCATTCTCACTAAAAAAAGAAAACAGGGTTGAATTAGCAGATTAACTCCAAACAAGTTATTTATTTTTGAGGTGATCAAGGTGTGAAGACAATCACACCTATACATGCAGCTGCCTACTTATATAGACTCTGATGGAGAATGTTAGGTTTATTTTGTTCCCCAACCAGCAAGAATCAACCAAAGACACAAATTACTTTTCTGCAGAAGAGGGGAGAAGAGCCCGACGCGGAGACCCGCTGCCAAACGTTGTCTGGGATCAGCTCTCAGTCGGCTCTCAGTCCCCAACTGCCTTTCATTATGTTAACAAACAAAGAGGTTGGCTTTTTCACACAGTCACACATTCTTCTGTGGACATGCCCTTACTAGGACTCAAGGATGACCGCTAGAAATTTATTCCTCAGGGCACTGATAATGATCAAACAGGTCCTTTGTGAGGGACCAAACAAAGCGCAGCCTGAAGACCCAATGACAATTGGCAACTTTGGACTAAGTGTTCCCTCGACCGGACGTGGGTCACCGGGGCCCCACTCTGCAGCCAGGCCTGGAAGGTGGGGCACGTTGGCAAGTGTCTGGTGGCAGGGCTTTTACCCATGGAGCCCAGCCCGAAGAGGAGAAATAGGTCCCATCTGTGAGAGGGGCCATAGGGGTCGGGTGCATTGCGAGATGGGTGGCAGCCGAGGAAGGGGGTCCTGGTGGTCCGATCCCCGGTTGCAGAAGCTGGCTCTTGGGACGTGGAATGTCACCTCTTTGCTGGTGAAGGAGCCAGAGCTGGTGTGTGAGCCTGAGAGGTTCCAGCAAGAAATAGTTGGTCTCACCTCAATGCATGGCTCTGGTTCTGGAAACAGTCTCCTTGAGAGGGGCTGGACATACTTCCACTCTGGAGTTGCCAACGGTGAGAGGCATCAGGCAGGAGTGGGCAAACTTGTTGCTCCCCATCAAGGCCCCTGAACGTTGGGGTTTACCCCGGTGAACGCCTACGGGTGGGGGGATGGGTTCTGACAGTTGTTTGTGCTTATGGGCCAAACACCGGTTCAGATTACCCAACCTTTTTGGAGTCCTTAGAGGGGGTACTGGAGAGTGCCCCTCCTGGGGACTCCTTCGATCTGCTGGGGGACTTCAACGGTCATGTGGGCAATGACAATGAGACCTGGAGGGGCGTGATTGGGAGGAGTGCTCCCCCCGATCTGAACTCGAGTGGCGTTCTGTTGTTGGACTTCTGTGCTCGTCACGGATTATCATTAATGAACCCCATAATCAACCATATGTGCACTTGGCACCGGGACACCCTTCGTCGCAGTTCGATGACCGACTTTGTCATCGGATCTGCGGCCGTATGTCTTGGACACTCAGGCGAAGACAGGTGCAAAGCTGTCCACCAACCACTACCTGGTGGTGAGTTGGTTCCAGTGGTGGGGGAGAATGCCAGTCAGACCTGGAAGGCCCAAACGTGTTGTGAGGGTCTGCTGGGAACGTCTGGCAGAATCCCCTTTGAATTGGAGCTTTAACTCCCATCTCCGGCAGAGCTTCGAAGATGTTCCAGGGGAGGTTGGGGACATTAAATCTGAGTGGACCATGTTTCGTGCCTCCATTTTCCAGGCGGCTTATTAGAGCTGTGGCCGCAAGGTCATCGGTTCCTGTCGCGGCGGCAACCCTTGAACCAGCTGGTGGACACCTTCGGTGAGGGATGCTGTCAGGCTGAAGAAGGAGTCCTATCAGGCCTTTTTGGCCTGTGGGACTCCAGAAGCAGCTGATGGGTACTGGCGAGTGAAGCAGCATGCGGCTCTGGTGGTTGCTGAGGCAAAAACTAGGATGTGGGAGGAGTTTGGAGAGGCCATGGAGAAAAACTTCTATACTGCTTTGAGGCGGTTGTGGTCCACAATCCGGTGGGGAGGGGGAAGCAGTACAGCACAAACACTTTTTCCAGTGGTAATGCTGTGATGCTGACCTCAACTCAGGATGTTGTTGCCCTGCGGGCAGAATACTTCAACGACCTCCTCAATTCCACCAACATGCCTTCCATTGAGGAGGCTGAGCCTGGGGTACTCTGGGTCTGGCTCTCTTATCTCTGGGGACGAGGTCACCAAGGTGTTTAAAAAGCTCCTCGGTGGCCGGAGTTCCTTAAGGCTCTGGATGTTGTTGGGTTGTGTTGGTTGACGCAACTCTGCAATATATATGACGTACCAGACCCTTTGATACGGGCTGTCAGGTCCCTGTATGACTGGTGTCAGAGTCTGGCCCGCATTGCGGGCAATAAGTCAGGCTTGTTTCCGATGAGAATTGGACTCCGCTGATTATGTTCATTACTTTGATGAACAGAATTTCTAGGCACAGCCAAAGTCTTGAGGGGATCCATTTTGGTGGCATTGGGATTGCATTTCTGCTTTTTGCAAATGATGTGGCCATGTTGGCTTCATCAGGATGTGATCTGCGGCTCTCGCTGGAGCGGTTTGCAGCTGATTGTGAAGCGGCCAGGATGAGGATCAGTGCCACCATGTCCGAGGCCATGGTCTTGAGCCGGAAAAGGGTAGAGTGCATTCTCCGGGTTGAGGGGGGAGTCCTTCCCCAAGTGGAGGAGTTCAAGTATCTTTGGATCTTGTTCACGAATGAGAAAAGAGGGGAGCGGGAGATCGACAGGAGGATTGGCGCAGCGTCTGCTGTGAAGCGGGCGCAGTACCAGTCCATTGTGGTGAAGAGAGAGCTGAGCCAAAAAGCAAAGCTCTTGATTAACCGGTCGATCTAGGTTCCTACCCTTATCTATGGTCATGAGCTTTGGGTTATGACTGAAAGTACGAGATTGCAGATACAAGCGGCCGAAATGGGTTTCCTTTGTAGGGTGGCTGAGCTCTCCCTTTGAGATAGGGTGAGAAGCTCGGTCATCCGGGAGGGGCTCGGAATAGAGCCCCTGCTCCTCCACATCGAGAGGAGCCAGTTGAGGTGGCTCGGGCATCTGGTCAGGATACCTCCCTAGGGAGATGTTTCGGGCACGTCCCACCTGGAGGAGCCCCCGGGGAAGACCCAGGACATGCTGGGGGCACTATGTGTCTCGGCTGGCCTGGAAATGCCTTGGGGTTTCCCCGGAAGAGCTGGAAGAAGTGGCTGGGAAGAGGGAAGTCTGGGCCTCCCTTCTGAAGCTGCTGGCCCCGCGACCCGAACCGGATAAGCGGAAGAAAATGGATGGATGGATGGATGGATGGAGAACATCACCAACGGAAGGATTCAGAGGGAGTGTGTGTTCGGAGATCATATTGTTCTGTTGAGAAACGTTGATGATGGTTTATGACATTTTAGATTTATGTTTATGCAAAAGCATAAACATAAATCTTTAAACTTTTATAGCCACTTGAAAGAAACTTAAAGCGTGAATCAAACATAAACCGCAGGTGTGCTTTTATTTTGAATGGAGCTTGAAAATGAAGGCGCCGTAACGCCTTGTTCCATCGCGCACGTCAAAATCCAGTGCGGGCTGGCTTTACTGCAGTTATGAAAAATATTTTTATGGGATTGATGTATAAAATTTTTAATTCCCTCAAAATACTAGACTTTTTAATATATTTTAATTAATTAAAATGGACCTACATGATATATTTTGCACAGATTTGTTTATTCTCTCCAAAAAAGAGGCTCATACAAATCTATTTTGCCCAGGAGCTTATTATTCATGTGTTACGGTTTCATCCGGAAGTGTTGAAGGCTATTGGCTCTCCACTGACAGCCTGGAGTTCAACATTTGCCTATGTTGGAGAACTTGCACCCATTAATGTCTCGGTAAGCAGACTTTGAGGTTAACAGAGAACTGAAAACAGTGTGCTTGTTTCAGCAGTTCCCGCCGAGCAGAGACACAGCGGAGCGGCAGCAGATCCCGGTACCGCCCCCGCTGTCTGTCCGTCAGTGTCACCGTCACATAGTGCTGTACAGCTGCGCGCCACTTCTTGCTCCCGAGCGCTTCCTTTTTCTCAGTCCCACCGTTGCAGCTTCAGCACCGCGGCAATGTGCGAATACTTCAGCTTGTCGGACTGCGACATCATCGGCTTCGATCTGGACCACACGCTGTGCCGTTACCATCTGAAGGAGACTTCCAGGGTGAGTTCCGCTCTGCTGATACATAACTGCACGGTGGCCGCGACGGTTCGACTTGCTCTCGCGCATTGTGCCGAAGAAATGCTCAGCGGTCAGTCTGCTCTGGCTCGTCCCAGCAGCCAGAGAGCAGGCTGCTGGGAATGTGTGTCGGAGCGCTCTGTGCTTTGATGTACGTGCGTGATGGAGCGACACTGCCACTGCTGCAGTCACTTTGCGTGATTCACAGGTTGGAGCTTCGGCGTGTCGCGTATAGGTGACTTTGAATCCCCCTTAGGCCGAGCTGAAGCCCGATCCTAAACCTATGTGATGAGGCGTTTTCTGATATGATGAGTCCCACAGAGAACAGCTGTGACATCCCAGGTTCTGTTGGTGGCTTACGGTTTAACCAGGCCTGGAGTCCATTTTCACCCTGTTTCGCACAGTTTCTCGTGCATCTTGTTTGCATGCTGTGGAAACACAATCTTGCCAAGTAACCTTCTCAACGGCATCCTTGTAAATATACCCAATGCACGTGTAATAGAATTTGTATGATGAAAGGAAAATATCGGTAATGACTCATACACTGTATACAAGCTCAGAATGTTATAAGTAGGTCTGGACTGGAGTTATGTATTTACTTTGAGACTTCTTTTACATATTATTTTGCTCTTTAAACCCTCACACGAACGTCTCGGATTCAGGAAGAGCAGTGTGGTTTTCGTCCTGGTCATGGACACTGGACCAGCTCTACACCCTCAGCAGGGTCCTGGAGGGTGCCTGGTACTGGTCTACATGTCTACATGTGTTTTGTGGACTTGGAGAAGGTGTTCGACTGTCCCTCGGGGAACCCTACGGGGGTTCTCCGGGAGTATGGGATACTGGGCCCTTTCATATGGGCTTGTTTCCGTTGAGGGACTCCGCCAAGGTCGCCCTTTGTCACCGATTCTGTTCATTATTTTCATGGATAGAATTTCTGTCCATGAAAATAATGGACAGCCAAGGTGTTGAGGAGATGTGTTTTGGTGCCCTCTGGATCTCATCTCTGCTTTTTGCGAATGATGTGGTCCAATTGGCTTCATTGGGGCGTGATCTTCCTTGGATGTGCAGTTTGAAAGCTTCCACCTCACAGAGCAACCCTCCTCTGTGGGAGCTGAGTGGAACACCCAGTGGAACTGTGCTTCTGATGAGCTTATTTTTCAAGTTACTTCTCAGTGCAATGCTGGTATACACATTGTTAAAAGGTTAATAGAGGAGCAGTGTTGTGATGTCTCTGTAACTGATGTTTGATCATTTTGCTGTTACATTTGAAAGTACAGTCTCCATTTACACGCTTAGCAAAACAGCTGCTATCACATAGCCTTCTTTCACAGAGAAAGCGGCAGAAAATGGTAGATAACTTCCATGCTAAAATTTCTTATATCGTTGATTCCATTGCTCCCATTAAAGTGATGATCATGGGTTTGTGTTGATTTTAGCAGTTTATGTGGAGCTTTAGACGAAACGGGAGATTAGTACCTGTACTCCAAAAATATTCCACCTCTTTCATTGTCCTGGAACGTCAAGACATTGTTCTAAAACTAAAAAAACGGAATAAAATACTTAAAGTAACTTTCCAAAAGTGTCACAAAATAGTACAATAAATGACAATAAAATCAATAAATTAATCTTGAAATAAATAAACAAAAAGGTACAAATTATTTTGTAGAGATAATTTGTTTCATTTCATAGGGTTATTGATGTATTTGATTAAATAATTTATTAGTAACAGTATTTATTTTTGAATGAAAAGGTTCTCCTAACAAGACATTACCGTGCCCTCCTTTATGTGTGTTTTGACAAATAAAATTGCACCTCCGGTTCAGGTTTGATCACACATTAAGTTGCTTTCCAGCAGCTATTAAAGTTTAAGACTTCAAAGGAAGGTACATATTTGTATTACATTTATCTATTTCAAGACTGTGCTATCCACTTTCTGACTTTCTCCTTCCTCCTTCCTGTGTTTACAGCTCATCTATGAGAGCTTTGCCAGGTATCTGGTGGAGCATAAGGGATATGACAAGGACCTCCTGAATCTGACTCCCGCTACCTGGGATTTCTGGTAAGTGTATTGTTGCAGGAGGTTTTTTGCTTGCAGGGGAACTTGGCACACACATATAGAAAACCAAATGGATTTCAATATTACAGGTGTATTTCAGTTCATAGATTAACCACACAGGATGGTATAGCCTGAGGATTCCTTTTAGTTATATTTAGGGATGCACAATATTTAGATACCAGCATCGGTATCAGCCAATAGCAGTCCCTTTTTACCATATTTGTATAGGTCTGAATAATAAAACTGAGGCGATATAAACAACTGATATTTATTTCCATCTTGCTGCTTTTTGTTTCTGGAGGGGAAGGTAGAGGGTGAGTCATGTGGTATTTGTTTGGTCATGTGACACTGATGCAGCAGTGCACATCCTCTTCATCACAATGACACCATCCAAAGTGTTGTCTGGAGTCACAGGCATGAAACGTAAAGCACAGGAGGCAAAACAGGTGAGCTGGGACCAATTCATGTGACTGACATACAGTGCAGGTTTCCTGGTAGACTTTGGCATCACCGAGCAGACATAGCCGTTGGTCATGTTCCGTTCACTGGCCAACATCTTTGCAAAATTCTGCCAAATGTTGTCATGGTGATGGTGTGGAAAGTGACCTATTTAAGTCTTTATAGCAGTGGTGTGGACAAATCTTCTCCCCAGATGAATCAGCGGAGTTGGAATGAAAAAATCCACACAGCAGCCACGGCACAAAAGAGGCCCCATCTCCCTGGAGACCCCATTTTTGCTAAGTTACAGAGATGTCAGAGTGTACCCAGGACTCTATGGAACAGGGGTTAGATGATTGCTTCACCGCCTTTGAGATGAATGATCCTACAAAACCAGACCCTTTTGTAGACGGACTTGGCCTCTGTCCCCTCTTAGGCTTCCAACATTCTCAGCAACTTACAGTGGCTGAGGTGGATCCAAGATTGGTAACCGCCACTTTCTGCTTCCCATGACGCCGAACAACCATATGGTCTCTTAAATACTTGTCCAAATGGTCTTGCACTTCACTACCTGTCCAGTCACGAGAAAGCTTGGTTTTAAAAACCAGCGGCAGCTCCCTATCTGGAGTAGACTGCAAAGCATGACCAACTGCTTTGACTCTTTCCAATCTGGTTTTCGTGCTCACCACGGCATGGAGACTGCCCTCATCAAAGTGTTCAATGACATCCATATGAATACGGACTGTGGGAGAATAAACATGAGCACCAGGTGTGAACTCAGGTCAGTCATTAATTCCCCCTTGCTAGCCAAGCATCGTTCAGCAACCTCTGCAGCTTTGTTAAGCCGTATCCAGTAATTAAGAGGTCCCTCGTTTGTGAATGCTGCTAGAGGCAGATCTGAATGAACAGTGTCATCAAAATGTTCCCTGCGGATGCTAAAGATAACAGAAACATCAGTAGCATTTGCATTACTACGCATTCAAACTTTAGTGACATCTCCTGCCCTCCCCATCAATCTGTTGATAACCACTTCAACCTGTTCACCATCAGTAGAAGTTTTCTGTCTAAGGTAGGCCTTCAAAACACTCAAAACAGAACATTATCAGATTTGTCACCCCTGAAATAGGGTGGAACATCAACATCAGAGCGTCGCACAACATTAAGTTTTGATGCTTCAATAACAGTAGTGCAACATTGAAATGACTGTGAAGTGTTCTTGTGATCTGGGGCTGAGACGGGTGGAGGCTCCAAAGCAGCATTCTGCATCAGGGACATTTTGATGGATTCTCCTATTTCTGACCCAATGGACCTGATTAGATCAGTTAATTAAGCGGAGGTCACTTCTGCATCAGGTGAAAACACTTGAGAGGTTGTAAGAGTCTCTGGGCTCAAGCCCGGAGTGAAATTTGGAGTTCGACTAATCAGGTCATCAAACCTCTTTTGCCTCCCAGACACAGAAAAGAACCCTGGATTTTCTGGAGTAGACTGCAAAGCATGACCAACTGCTTTGACTCTTTCCAATCTGGTTTTCGTGCTCACCACGGCATGGAGACTGCCCTCATCAAAGTGTTCAATGACATCCATATGAATACGGACTGTGGGAGAACCATGGTGCTGGTTCTGTTGGACCTCAGTGCAGCTTTTGACACTGTCGACCATGACATATTACTGAATCGACTGGAGAGTTGGGTTGGACTCTCCGGTCCAGTGCTCATCTGGCTTGAATCTTACATAAAGAACAGGGATTTCTTTGTTTCAATTGGAAACTTCTCATCAAAGAGGTCAAAGGTCACATGTGGGGTACCTCAAGGTTCAATACTAGGACCCCTCTTATTCAATATTTATATTCCCCCACTAGCTCAGGTTATAACAAGAAATATTAGCTACCATAACTATGTAGATGACACACAGCTCTACATTACGATGTCACCAGGCGACTCTGAACCCATCCAATCACTGAACAGATGCTTAGAACAGATAAATGTGTAGATGTGCCAAAACTTTCTCCAGCTGAACAGAAACAAAACTGAAGTTATTACTTAAATGCACAGTTTGAGTTATTACAACTAAAAACTAGCGATCGGGCCCGAAACCGGGGAGTAGTGATGGACTCGGACCTGAACCTTCAGAGCCACATAAAGACAGTCATAAAGTCGGCCTTCTATCACCTGAAGAACATCCCCAGGATTAGAGGACTAATGTCTCAGCCAGATCTAGAGAAACTCATCCATGCGTTTAGTCACATTGATTGATTATTGCATCAGCATCTTCACAGGCCTGTCCAAGAAATCAATCAAACAGTTGCAGCTGATCCAGAACGTTGCTGCTCACATTCTCACGTGTAGAGTCACTAAAACCAGGAAGATAGAGCACATAACACCAGTCTTAAAGTTGCTACACTGGCTCCCTGTAGCTCAAAGAATAGATTTTAAAATACTGTTGTTAGATTACAAATCACTGAACCATTTAGCGGGCTGCACAGTGGCGCAGTGGGTAGTGCTGTTGCCTTGCAGCAAGAAGGTCCTGGGTTCAATTCCCGGCCCGGGGTCTTTCTGCACGGACTTTGCATGTTCTCTCCGGGTTCTATCCATTTTCTGAGCACCCTTCTCCCTAACGGGGTCGGGAGGTGCTGGTGCCTATGTCCAGCTGCATTCCGGGCGAGAGGCGGGGTACACCCTGGACAGGTCGCCAGTCTGTCGCAATGCAACACAGAGAGACAAACCACCATGCACACACACACTCACACCTCGGGAGAATTTGGGAAGGCCAATTAACCTGACAGTCATGTTTTTGGACTGTGGGAGGAAGTCGGAGAACCCACACACGCACAGGGAGAACATGTAAACTCTGTGCAGAAAGACCCCGGGCCGGGAATCGAACCCAGGACCTTCTTGCTGCAAGGCAACAGCACTACCCACTGTGCAGCCTGCGCTTTCAGCATCTATGCACCACAAATTTGGAACAAACTTCCAGAAAACCGTAAAACAGCTGAAACACTGACGTCCTTTAAATCTCGACTAAAAACACGCCTGTTTAGAATTGTATTTGAAACGTAATCAATTAAAAATTTAATGATTATTGGCTGAAAGTGCTGCAATTGTACCTACACATTAAAAAAAAATATTTGCATTGTTATGGCACTTGGCTTGATGTAGTTTTTGATTATTGATTCTATGTTGCATGACTTTGTGTTTTTTTATTTATTATGTAAAGCACCTTCAAATGCTTTGTGCTTAAATGCCAGTCTGTCACAGGGTAACAAAGAAACAAACAGGACAAACAACCATGTACACACACACTCACACCTAGGGAGAATTTTGAAAGACCAATTTACCTAACAGTCATGTTTTTGGACTGTGGGAGGAAGCCGGAGTACCCGGAGAGAACCCATGCATGCACAAGGAGAACATGGGTCGGGCTCTCCAATCTCTGGGGATGAGGTCGCCAAGGTGTTTAAAATGCTCCTCCTTTTGTGGACTTGGAGAAGCCGTTCGACCGTGTCCCTCAGGGAACCTTGTGGGGGATTCTCCGGGAGTATGAGGTACTGGACCCTTTGATATGGGCTGTCAGGTACCTGTCTGACTGGTGTCAGAGTCTGGTTCGCATAGCTGGGGCTTGTTTCCAGTGAGAGTTGGACTCCGCCAGGGCTGTTCTTTGTCACTGATTCTGTTAATTACTTTCACTGACAGAATTTCTAGGTGCAGCCAAGGTGTTGAGGGGATCCATTTTTGGTGGCCTTAGGATTGCATCTCTGCTTTTTGCGGATGAGCCCTATGGAACAGGGGTTAGATGATTGCTTCATCTAACCCCTGTTGGCTTCATCAGGACGTGATCTGCAGCTCTCGCTGGAGCAGTTTGCTGCCGAGTGTGAAGCGGCTGGGATGAGGATCAGTGCCTCCAAATTCGAGGCCATGGTCATGAGCAGGAAAAGTGTAGAGTGCCTTCTCCGGGTTGGGGAGGGTGTCCTGCCTCAAGTGGAGGAGTTCAAGTATCTTGGGATCTTGTTCACAAATGAGGGAAGAAGGGAGCGGGAGATCAGCAGGCAGATTGGCGAAGTGTCTGCTGTGAAGCGGGCACTGTACCAGTCCGTTGTGGTGAAGATAGAGCTGAGTCAAAAAGCGAAGCTCTCGATTTACTGGTCGATCTATGTTCCTACCCTCATCTATGGTCATGACTGAAAGAATGAGATATTGGATACAGGAGGCCGAAATGGGTTTTCTCCGTAGGGTAGCTGGGCTCTCCCTTAGAAATAGGGTGAGAAGCTCGGGCTTCCGGGAGGTACTCAGAATAGAGCCACTGCTCCTTCACTTCGAGAAGAGCCAGCTGAGGTGGCTCAGGCCTCTGGTTAGGATTTAAAATAAAGCTGAGAAAACTGATGTTTGAGACATAATTCTCTGTGATACAAACCTATAAACATTTTGGTTTCTGTCAAGATTCAAGAAAGGGCAAATTTCTGTTATACAGGCCAGTCGTTTTATTTTAAATATGCTGTAGGAGCCAAAGTGTGATGATTGTTATAAATATCACCACGTTTTATGAACAGAGGGAATTCATTTTTGTTTTTT